GTGCCTGCCCTCCCTCTCCCTCACCTGCCTCCCCTCCCCTGATCTCCCTCACCTGTTCTGCTCTGAGGGCAGCAGAGATGGACACCCAGGACATTGAAGAGCTGCAGCAGGAGGTGGTGGAGGAGCTGGGAATCTCCCTGCAGGAGCTGCAGGAGATCATCGACAAGGAGGTGGAGAACTGCGAGTGGGTGAGGCAGCGAAAGCAGCAGCTGGAGGAGCTGGAGAAGTGTGTGAGGCACAAGGAGGAGGAGGCGGCTCACGTTGACCAGCTCATTGACAACGCCACGAGGTGGGTGGATCTGGAGTGGGCCGGAATTCCGAGGAGGGGGCTGCGGGGGGTGTTCTCATTCCCTTTAGAGCAGATCGAGGTCACTTGGTTTGCGTGTGGTTAACGAGGGACAGTGACAGCCCCCCCAAGGCTTTAAATCCTTGGTGCGGACGCTTCCCTCAGGTGGAACTGGGAGCTGCCCAGCTGCCCGTTCCTGGTCGTCCCTGTGGTATTCCAGGACGTACAGCCGGATTCCCTCCCTCTCCTCCAGAGCCATCGACAAGTGCGAGACATTGGCCAAGGAGTTGTACTCCATGATGGGCCTCCAGTACCGGGAGAGCAGCTCCGAGGACGAGGCCCCGGCGGCCACGGAAGTGATCGAGATCCCGGACGAGGAGGACGACGACGTCATGAGCGTGGACTCGGGCTGGAAGCACAGTTCAGTAAATCCCAGTGTGCCCAGGACAGCAGGGGCAGTGGGATAAGGGACTGCTCTTTGCTCATGAGGAGCAGCTGCCACGTCCCGTTAACGTTCCATGATTCCTGGAGCCCCAAACTGGGATTTCACCCTTTCCAAACGTCCCTGACTGTTGTCCCCATCAAACACTGCCTCACATTAAAAAAGATGAATGAGGAAAAGCCTTATTTGAGTGAATTTCCTGACAGAGGTTTGGGGTGGATGCTTTTTCCGGTCCCCTCTTTTTCCTGTGGTTTAATGAGGATGGATTCCCTCCCCCACCCCCCCCAAAATGTTTTAAACCATTTTTTCCTCTTCACTCACAGGCACCAGCAGCTCCAGAATCTCCAAGGATCAGAGTCTGGTGAGTGAAAAGGTCCTGACTACAGATGATTCTTCTAGTGGGGATTTTCTTGGGGTACGGTGTTTGTGTTTGGTGAAAAAAAAACCAGTTTCTCCATAATTCCCTTGTCTTTTTTTCCCTTCCAGCTGCAGGAAGCAATGGCTGCCATGAGGAGATCAGCCCGGGATGTTGCGAAATTCATGGATGCTGTGAGCAAGAAAACAAGCTCCCAGGAAGCACAAAAAGGTGTGGGACCTTCCAGGGGTGCCCTGGCCCTGGGCCTTTGCTTCCCAGAAAAGGCAAACAACGATCCACTTTCCTTGCTGGGGAGCTCTGTTAGGATTTATTGACTCCAGATTCCTGTTTTCCTTTAATTTGGGGTATATTGATTCCAAACTCCTGGTTTTCTTTGAGTCCTTTCCATGCAGTAAAACGGAGGCACTTGGGCTGCCTGAGGGGAAGGAAAGGAGGCATTCCTCCTGCTGCAGCTCGGAGGGACGTGATTCCAGCTGTAATTCCAGCAGAAAAGGGAGCTCTGGGGGATTTATAACTGATTGTTGTTCCTTGGCAGAGGCACAGCCCCCCCCGGCATGTCCTGGCACTGCCCAGCCCGTTGCCCCCCCGGCCCCTGGGGATGATCTCAACACTGACGGGGATCTCAAAGTGGGAATGAGGATTTTGGGCAAGAAAAGAACCAAAACGTGGCACAAAGGGACCTTGATTGCCATCAAACCAGTGGGTAGGTGCTGGGCGTGGGGCTTTCCCTGGGATCTGGGGGGGAGACGTGGATTGAAAGGTGTCAGAGCACCTGGTGTCAAACCTGGAAGGGACAGTGGGAGCGACGCAGCTCCGCTGTTTCACCCTCCAAACGAATTCTGGGCAGATTTTAAACAAACTCTGAGTTAGCTGTGAATAAACAAGGCTCAGAGTGACCCAGGGCGTTGCCTCTCTCGGGATGAAACCGCTGGGCTTCTATTCAGTTTCCCTTTCGTTTATTTTCTGTTTTTATCTTCAAAACGTCCTCCCAGGTGCTGGCAAGAAATACAAAGTGAAATTTGATAACAAAGGGAAGAGTTTGCTCTCGGGCAACCACATTGCCTACGACTACCACCCGTGTCCTGAGAGGCACCACGTGGGCAGCAGGGTGGTGGCCAGGTACAAGGATGGCAATCAGATGTGGCTCTATGCTGGCATCGTGGCTGAGACCCCCAATGTCAAGAATAAAGACAGGTATTCCTTATTTCCCAGGGTCATGAACCCCCAGCTCTGGTTTTTTTGGTTTTTGTTTGAGGCAAAAAAAGCTTATTTTAGTATCCTTCGGGTGCTGAATTCTGCCTTCCCCAGGAAGGAGTTCTGAGTCTTTCTTTAATCTTATCTCTGAAACCTCAGGGTGGAGCTTCCAGTCTCTTGCTCGTGGCCCTGAGACAGGAATGAGATCTGCTAATTTATTCAAATTATCACCCAGATGTGCAGTCTGGGCTGCCTGAGGTGTGAAACAGTGGGAGGAAATGGGAGCCCTGGAAGGGTTTAGTGCCAGCAGTGCTGTCAAAGCACTTTGTGAGGAGAAGGAGCAGGTTTGGAGCAGCTTTTATGGGAACAAGGGGCAGGGCTGCTCCTGTCTGTTAAAATCAGGGCTTGTGGTTTCCCTGGAGAGGCTGATGAAGGGTTTAATGACTCTGGATCTGCCATGAACTGTGCTGAGTTGCACCTGATCCACGTTTAATAACGGGAAATGAGCTGCATTTACTACTCACCTTGGAGATTTCCTCCTGGTTGTGGTGCTGATGCCTCGTCCTGCCCCTTTTGTACAACTCCAGCGCCCGGAGCCGTTACTCCGAGACACGTGGGTGCCTTACCCAGAGTTCAGGGCTCCCCCAGGGTTGGGATGTGTCCAGGAGGAACAGGAGAGGTTCTCCACTTCCCTTCTGTGACGTGGAGCTGTTTTCTGTTCAGCTCCCTTCCTAATTCCCGCCTTGTTTTCCAGGTTCCTGATCTTCTTCGACGACGGCTACGCGTCGTACGTGAAGGAGTGGGAGCTGTACCCCGTCTGTCGGCCACGTGAGTGCTCCCATCCCACCTGGGGAGGTTTGGCCTCAAAAACCAGGGGACAGAGGGTGTGTCCCCTCCGGTGCTGTGCCTGGGGACGTCTGAAATCCTGAGTTATTGCCAGGGTGGGTTCAGGATGTGCCCCACCACCGAAATTCCAGCCCCTCGGCATCGCCCCTTGATCGACCGTGTGTAAAAATCCACCAGGGATCTCCTAAAAGAAAAGAATCAAAGGTTCTCTCTGTTTTGTCCGCTTCCCTTTTTCTCACCCATCTCTTTCCATGCAGTGGAAAAAAGCTGGGAAGACATTGAGGATGTTTCCTGTCGGGATTTCATCGAGGAATACATCACTGCCTACCCCAACCGGCCCATGGTGCTGCTGAAGAACGGGCAGCTCATCAAAACCGAGTGGGAAGGGACCTGGTGGAAATCCAGGGTGGAAGAAGTGGATGGAAGTCTGGTCAAAATCCTTTTCCTGGTAGGGATTTCCCTTCTCCTGTTAGGAAAATTGGATTAAATTTGAGTCTGGGGGGGCTGGCTCAGCTGCATTTTTGTTACTAATCACGGAATCATTAAGGCTGGAAGAACCTTGGAGATTTTGGAGTGCAAGGCTCCCACTGAATCCTGTGCCCAAGTGCCACATCCACAGGGGTTTTGGACAATTCCAGGGGTGGGGGACTCCACTCTGGGCAACCTGTGCCTGAACACCTGGAGAAATTTTCCCTAATACCCAATCAGGGATTCCAACCTAAAAAACCCCCATGATTGTGCTGTTTGTCAAGGCTCACTGTGCTCTCTTGTGTCTTTCCCCCCAGGAACCTCTTCCCATGGGGAGTGGGAGCGTGTCCTACTCCCTCCTGCAGGAGGACAAGCGCTGTGAGTGGATTTACCGTGGCTCCACACGCCTCGAGCCCATGTTCAGCATGAAAACCTCCACGGCTTCCACCCAGGAAAAGAAGCAAAGTGGGCAAACCAGGACTCGTCCCAATGTTGGTCAGTGGCACCTCCTGCTTTCATTCATATCCTGGGGTTTGACTGGGGGGTGGGTTGGGTGTGGTGGGTTTTTAGCAGAACTCTGGAGGTTTCAGCTTTCTGGGATTTTTGCCCCTCGGGCTTGTGAGGTTTCAGGTTCCCAGTGGAATTTTGTAGCAGAACTCCTGGAGATTTTGGGTTTCCAGTGCTTTGTCCTCCTGGCACAGCTGTCAGATTTCCAGTGGAATTTTTCTCCTGGAATTACACCGCCAAACCGAACTGCATTTGGGGGAAGTGACCAGAATTTCTGGGGGCAGTTGCTGTGCCCCAGAGCTTGGCCGTGCCCCAGTTAATCCCAAATCCCTCGGTTTTCATTCCTTGCAGGCACCAAGTCGGTATTTTGGGGCTGGTACAGCCAACCTGGGATAATGCTGGAGATTTTTCCTGTTGACTGTCTGGTTTTTCACCTTCCCCCCCCAGGTGCTGTGAGGAGCAAAGGCCCTGTGGTCCAGTACACCCAGGATTTAGCAGGAGCTGGTCCCCAGTACAAGCCCCCGGAGCAGCTCCCGGCTGCTTCTTCTGTGTCCCCTCAGCCTGCAGAGATGGAGTAAGTACTGGAGCCACTTCCAACACTTCCACTTCCTTTGCTTTCCCTCTCCAGCACTTCCACCTCCTTTGCTTTCCCTCTCCAGCACTTCCACCTCCTTTCCTTTCCCTCTCCAGCACTCAGCTCGCTCAGGCATCACCTCCTCTCTGCAGAGGAATCCTCAGGTGCAGGTTCCCTCCGTGGCTAGGCTTGGATTATGTCGTGATTTTGGGGGAACACCCTTGGCTAAAGCTGCAGGATGAACAATTGGGGGTGGGAGCCAACAACCCCCCCGAGCCAAAAATTCCTCCTCAGGGCTAAAGCTTCGCGCTTGTCTTTCCAAAGGGGGCCTCTGCTCCTTGTGTTCCCCAAACCTGAATTGCTCCCTCGTGTCACGCTCCAGGCGCTGGCCCCCGGCTGCCTCGTGTCCCTGCACCTGGACTGAGCTCGCTGGCTTCCGAGGGAATTCGGGATCAGTGGTGGGTCCCGGTGGGCACGGAGCAAACCACGGCCCAGCCGCTGCCCGGGGCCCAGGGGGGACGTCCCCGGAGCCGCAGGCTGGAGGAGGCCTGGATGGAGGAGGAGCTCGGCTCGGTGACGGAGGGAGCGTGTTGGAGGACACCAGGGAGCCCGGGAATGCGCTCTGGGACTCTTTAGGGGAGGGAGCTGCTCTCCCGGGTCAGTTCTGTCCCCGCTGTGGATTCCCCATCCGGATCTGCGGCCGCCTGGCCCCGTGCCAGCACGTCTTCTGCTGTGACTGTGCCCTGCTGGTGGGGCAGGAGGGGGGTGGGAGGTGTCCCAGCTGTGAGGAGCCTGTGCAGGAAGTCAATCTTTACTCCCCCGAGGCTCTCCAGGTGTAGCAGCAGCTCAGAGCCCGGCTGGGGTGGGGTCTCGGGGGGGTTCCTCTCCAAGCAGTGCAGTATGACCCAATTTACCCCTGGAAACGCTCCCCCTGTGCCGCTCTGACCAGGATTTGGGGATTGAAGCCACAAGAACGTTGTTCCTCACCTTTTCCATAACCCAGAAGAGAGGCTGGATGCTGGAGGAGGTCCCAAACCCCCCCTGTGTGCAGGGAAGGGCCGGGCTGTGCCTGACACCGGGACACTCCGGGCTGGGAGGGCGTCGGGACCGCGGGCACTGTCACGACATGAACACCCCCAAGTTGGACCTGCAGCCCCATCGTGGCCAAATCCTTCCCCACTTCCTCCTTGCAGTGGTTACAAGGAGTTCTTTCCCTCTCCCCACAGAGGGTTTGGCTTTAGGGTCTGGTTTCCATCCAGGCAGACACTGCAGCCGCTTCCCTGCCCTCAAACCCAGCTGGTGTGAGCAGCGCCCCGGGGCCGTGTCCCTGTCCCTGCTGTGCCCAGGGATCCTTGGATTTTAGATCATTAAAACCAAGAACAGTCTCTCCACTCTGGTGTTTTGTTTCCTCTGAGGAAGGCCTGGGTCTCTTCCCCCTCTGGTCTCACTTTCAGGTTCTTCTTGGCACTGTCAAACCAGGTCTGACTGTTCTCGGCCGATTTTTCCTCTTGCTCTTTGAGATGTGTCTGAACACTTTGCTTTCAGGCAGCTCTTAGCAGAAACCCTCACCTCTTCCTGCTTTCCATGTCTCCTCCCTTTTTCCCTGATAACTTCAGTGTTCTTCCGTTTCAGTGGCTGGTTTGGGGTGGTTTTCTGTTTAATTGGTGTAAAGGGGTTGAAAACCTTCTGGAATGGATTGAAAACCTGCTGGAATTGATGGAAAAACCATGAAATAGGTTGAAAACCTGTTTTTTGGGAGCCCCGTGTAGCTCTTTCATCAGGGGTGTTACTACATTCCCTTGCACAACCATGGATTGTTCCTCAGTCTTGCCAAAAGGGTCCTCTGGATTAGTTCCTCCCACTCCTGATTAGTTGAGCCTCTGGAAACTCTGGTTTCTGCTATTCCAGGGATTTCTTCATGGCCTGGTTTGTCGAGCTGCGTGGGATGAAGACCTTGGGCATGGTTGTTACCCTTGCCTTACTTGCCAGTCACAAGTTACTGCTAACTGTTGCTGAGTGCTGGAATTTGGGGTGGTTGTGGGATTGCTGTGGCAGAAATAGTCAGGGAGGGGCTGATTTTCACACTTGCTAGGAAAAAAAACCCACCTGCTGGGATTCTCCTGGATTTCTCAGTTCCATGGGGGGAGCGTTGCTTTGATTCCCACCGGTCGTTTTTCCACCTTCCAAATCGCCTCCTCCTTGCCTCCTGCAGGTGCTCTGACAGCCAGTTGGCCCAGTCCAGGAAGCAGGTGGCCAAGAAAAGCACTTCCTTCCGTCCTGGCTCGGTGGGCTCCGGCCACTCGTCCCCTTCCTCCCCCGTCCTCGGCGACGCTCCGGCTCCGGGAAGGGCCAGCGCGGCCCCGCAGCACCGGTGAGCAGAGCTGGGGGTGGGGGGGACACAAATCCATGAGTGCTCCTGGGTTTGGGGTGTTGGACACGTTCAGGGGCTTGTGTGTGTGTGGGGGTGTCTCTGGGTCGGCAGGTAGAATCACGATATCATGGAGTCATGATCCTGCAGGTGGGAAAAGTCCTCGAGTCCGCTGCCAAGGCCACCCTGACCGATTTCCCAAGTGCCACGTCCACACTTGCAGGGATGGGGACTCCACCACTGCCCTGGGCAGCCTGTGCCAGGGCCTGACCACCCTTTCCATGAAGAAGCTTTCCTGAATGTCCAGCTTGAACCTCCCGTGGTTTCCTGTGGAAACTTGAGGCTGTTTCCTTTTGTCCTGTCCCTTGTTCCCTGGGAGCAGAGACTGACCCCCACCTGGCTCCCCCGCCTCCTGTCAGGAGGTGCAGAGAGCAGAGGTCCCCCTGAGCCTCTTTTCTGCACTGACCCCCCAGCTCCTCAGGAGCTCTCAACCTCTTCTCTCTCCATTCCATCTCTGAATGCTCCAGCCCTCAATGTCCATCTTTTTGAGGCCCCAAAACCACCCCTGAGGTGCCCATTCAGTCCCACAGGGCGTGGCAGTTCCCTGGTCATGCTGTGGCTGGTCCATGCCGGGTGCTGATGTCCAGCTGGGCACACTGGGCTCCTGTCCCCCACCCTGTTCCCTGTCCCTTCTGGGCACGCTGTGCTCCTGTCCCCCACCCTGTTCCCTGTCCCTTCTGGGCATGCTGTGCTTGTGAACCCCACTCTGCTCCCCATCCCTTCTGGGCACACTGGGCTCATGTCCCACACCCTGTTCCCCATCTCTTCTGGGCACACTGTGCTTGTGAACCCCACTCTGCTCCCCATCCCTTCTGGGCACACTGTGCTCCTGTCCCTCATCCTTCTCCCCATCCCTTCTGGGTACACTGTGCTTGTGTCTCCCACCCTGCTCCCCATCCCTTCTGGGCACACTGTGCTCCTGTCCATCACCCTGCTCTCCCCTAAGCCCTCTCCCCATCCCTTCTGGGCACACTGTGCTCCTGTTCCTCATCCTTCTCCCCATCCCTTCTGAGCACACCATACTCGTGTCCCCACCCCGCTCTCCCCTAACCCCTTCGACGCCCCCATCTCCTTCTGGGCACAACTGTGCTCATTTTCCTCCCACCCTGCTCTGCATCTTCTGAGGCACACCATCTCGTGTCCCCACCTCGCTCTCCCCTAATCCCTCTTCCCTCCCTATCTGAAGCACACCGTTGTACTCGTTGTCCCCTCACCCCGCTCTCCCCTAACCCCTCTCCCCCTCCCTTCCCCGCGCAGCGTCCCCGCCGGCGCCGTGCAGCCCTTCCACGGGATGCTGGACCGCGTCCCCAGCGAGCCGTCCTACCGGGCCCCTCTGGAGAAGCTCTTCTTCCTGCTCCACGTGTGCAGCTACGCCTGCTTCCCGCGGTGCGCCCATCCGCGCCGACCAGTACCGCAGCCGCAACCCGCTGCTCATCCCGCTGCTCTACGACTTCCGCCGCATGACGGCGCGGCGCCGCGTCAACCGCAAGATGGGCTTCCACGTGCTCTACAAGACGCCCTGCGGGCTGTGCCTGCGCTCCATGCAGGAGATCGAGCGCTACCTCTTTGAGACCGACTGCGACTTCCTGTTCCTGGAGATGTTCTGCCTCGACCCCTACGTGCTGGTGGACCGCAAGTTCCAGCCCTACAAGCCCTACTACTACATCGCCGACATCACCAAGGGCAGGGAGGACGTGCCGCTGTCCTGCGTCAACGAGATCGACAACACGCCGCCCCCGCAGGTGGCCTACAGCAAGGAGAGGATCCCCGGCAAGGGGGTCTTCATCAACACCAGCTGGGAGTTCCTCGTGGGCTGCGACTGCAGGGACGGCTGCAGGGACAAGTAGGTGACCGCTCGTGGCTGAGGGGGTGTGCTGGGACTCTGCGACCTGCCCGAGGTGGATCTGCTCTGGGGGTTAAATCCCTGCAGCTCAGGTTTCGTGGAATCATGGAATGGTTTGGGTTGGGAGGGACATTAAAGATCATCCAGTCCCATCCCCTGTCACAGGCAGGGACACCTTCCTCTATCCCAAGTTGCTCCAAGCCCCGTCCAACCTGGCCTTGACCACTTCCCAGGATGAGGAATCCACAGCTTGTCTTGGTTTGATTCCAGGTCGAGCCCTACGTGCTCATCTCTGCCTAAAGATGGGATTTCTTTCCCTGTCTCCAGAAGTGCTGTGGAAGCTGTGAGCTGTGGTTTCTCCCGTGTCTCCCTGCAGGTCCAAGTGTGCCTGTCAGCAGCTGACGATCCAGGCGAGCGGCTGCACCCCCGGGGGGCAGATCAACCCCAACTCGGGCTACCAGTACAAGCGGCTGGAGGAATGTCTGCCCACGGGGTGAGCAGAGCCGGGGCCTCCTGCCCGCCCAGGTGCCAACCCCACATGCCATCAGAGAGGGAATTTATCCCAGAGATAAGCACAGATGTGACAGCCTGCCTCTGGTCTTGGTTCTTGTGCTGGTCATGGAATGGTTTGGGTTGAAAGGGACCTTTTAAAGATCATTGAGACCATGAGCAGAGACACCTTCCACTAGACCAGGTTGCTCCAAGCCTGGTCCTCTGGGCTCTCTGTGCGTGACCCCAGCACTGCCAACCTCACCAGTCTCTGGGATGTTCCTTTACCCTGGAATTTGTCACCCTTCTCCTTTCTTCCAGCGTTTACGAGTGCAACAAGAGGTGCAAGTGCAACGTGAACATGTGCACCAACCGCCTGGTCCAGCACGGCCTCCAGGTCCGGCTGCAGCTCTTCAAGACCCAGAACAAAGGTTGGGGCATCCGCTGCCTCGACGACATCGCCAAGGGCTCCTTCGTCTGCATCTATGCAGGTGGGAACTCACCTGGCACGTGGGAGCCTCTTCCCTTGGAAAAGGGTGTGGTCAGAGCTGGGGAAGGGGCTGGAGCAGCAGGAGAGGGGGCTGGAGAACTCCTGAGGGAGTTGGGAGGGCTCAGCCTGCAGAAAAGGAGGCTCAGGGGGGACCTTTTTGCTCTCTGCAACTCCCTGCCAGGACAGGGGAGCTGGAGGGGGTCGAGATCTTCTCCCAGGGAACAAGGGACAGGACGAGAGAAAACGGTCTCAAGTTGTGCCAGGGGAGGGTCAGGTTGGATATTCAGGAAAGTTTCTTCATGGAAAGGGTGGTCAGGCCCTGGCCCAGGCTGCCCAGTGAGGTGGTGGAGTCCCTGTCCCTGGAAGTGACCAGAGCCGTGTGGATGTGGCACGTGGGGACGTGGTTCACTGGTGGCCTTGGCAGTGCTGGGGGGATGGTTGGCTCGATCTTGGAGGCTTTTCCAACCTTCAGGCACGATTCCCTGATTCCAAAGCCCAGCAGAAGGGCTGTGAAGCTCTTGCTGTGCCCGTTTCAGGGGGCAGGAAGGTGAAAGCTGAGCAGGTGAACTTGCCCAGCGCTGGCACAGGACACTGCAGAGCCCTCGGGGTGGCAGTGCCGGTGTCACAAGACACGCTGGGCCACTGAGCTGTCCCTGGGGTGACCCAGCCCCGGCCCAGCCCTGCTTCCTCCTCCCAGCAGAGCCCCTGAAATGCAGAAGTTGCACAGGGGTGGTGTTGGCTCTGAAACGAAGCCGCCCACGGGCACGGCCGGAGCCGCTGCTGCCCTGATTCCATGGCTGTGGAGTTCCCTCTCTGCTCCACCAGCCCCTCCAGCCCTTCCAAGCCTCCACTGTAGCTGCTCTGTAGAGATTTCTGGGGTGAAAACCTTGATTTTAGGTCAACCACATGCCTCAGGCTTTTGTCCCGTCGAGTACCAGGGATACATTGCCCTTTCCTAACCCAGCTTTGGAGTGAGGTGGCGTCCTTCCTGTTTTCTCCTCAGCGAGCTTTGGGGAGGAATTAAGACGAACTCCCGGGGAATGCCATCCCGGGAGAGCTCACCCTGCCTTTCCTGTCGCCCTTAGGGAAGATCCTCACGGACGACTTCGCCGACAAAGAGGGGCTGGAGATGGGCGACGAGTACTTCGCCAACCTGGACCACATCGAGAGCGTGGAGAACTTCAAGGAGGGCTACGAGAGCGACGCCAAGTGCTCCTCGGACAACAGCGGCGTGGACCTGAAGGACGACGACGACGAGGAGAACACGGGCACGGAGGAGCCCGAGGAGTCCAACGAGGACAGTTCCGACGACAACTTCGGCAAGGACGAGAACTTCCACGCGAGCTCGGTGCTGCGCAGCTACGCCACGCGCCGGCAGACGCGCGGCCAGAGGGACGGCGGCCTCTCGGAAACCGCCTCCAAGGACTCGGGGCTCGCCCGGCCCCTCGGCCACGACGAGGCGCTGGCGGGCCCCTGCAAGCTGCCCGTGTCGGAGGAGAGCTCCAAGAACAAGGTGGCCTCGTGGCTGAGCTCCAACAGCGTGTCCGAGGGCTTCCAGGACGGCGACAGCAGCTCCTCCTTCCGCCTGGGCGAGGCGGGAGACACCAAGCCTGTGAAAGTGGAAAACCCCGGGGAGAGGGAGAAGGGATGTGTTCCCACCCCGGGAGAGATGAACAGAGAGATGAAGGCAGCCAAGAAGGAGGTGAGGGAGGGATGTGGGAGCGAGAGAGTCAAAGGGCACTGAGGAATGATGGAAGGGAGAGATGTGGGAATGGGAGATCCTGGGAGACCTGGATGAGGAGACACAGAGATGTGGGAATGGGAGATCCTGGGAGGCCTGGATGAGGAGACACAGAGATGTGGGAATGGGAGATCCTGGGAGGCCTGGATGAGGAGAAACAGAGGTGTGGGAATGGGAAATCCTGGGAGGCCTGGATGAGGAGACAGAGAGGTGTGGGAATGGGAGATCCTGGGAGACCTGGATGAGGAGACAGAGATGTGGGAATGGGAGATCCTGCCTGGGAGACCTGGATGAGGAGAAACAGAGATGTGGGAATGGGAGATCCTGGGAGGCCTGGATGAGGAGAAACAGAGATGTGGGAATGGGAGATCCTGGGAGGCCTGGATGAGGAGACACAGAGATGTGGGAATGGGAGATCCTGGGAGGCCTGGATGAGGAGAAACAGAGGTGTGGGAATGGGAAATCCTGGGAGGCCTGGATGAGGAGACAGAGAGGTGTGGGAATGGGAAATCCTGGGAGGCCTGGATGAGGAGACAGAGATGTGGGAATGGGAGATCCTGCCTGGGAGTCACCGTGAGCGTGGAGACAGGGGGTGTCTCACTCCCAGGCTGGCATTTTGGGGAGCAGTTCCACAGAAAGGCAGGAGAGAACTCCAAAAGGGAGAGATTTTAATCTTCTTGCTCTTCCCCTGAGAACCTGAAGAGCAACCAAAATTCGGGTAAGATTCCTGAACCGGTGTTCTCCTGTCCCTGCCTGGCCTGAGGACACTCCCCCTGGAAGCCCAGGCGTGACCCCTGTTGTCCTGGCCCTGCAGGCGAGATCCCCGGGCAGGAGGTACGGATACAACCCTGCCCCCCGAAGCTGGAGGGGATCCGGCGGCCCCTGAGCCGCACGGCGCTGCTGCAGAGCCGGCGCCGCTCCCTCTCCCTGCAGGCCTCCAGCGAGGTAAGGGGGACCCCCAGGCTGGGAGAGGGACCCCCGGGCTGGGAGAGGGACCCCCGGGCCGGGAGAGGGATCCCCAGGCTGGGAGGGGGTCCTGGCTCTGCCCCTTCCCCCAGAACCGGCTCCGTGACGACCCCGAACCTCAGTTTGGGTGGTTTTCTGTTGTTCCTGTTCCCGGCTTTGTGGTTGTCCCTGCGATTTCCTGGGGGGCAGTTGGTTTCCTTTGGATTGTGGGGAGTGTTTCTTGGATCTGAAAAGCCCCCCCAAAAAACAGGAGAGTGCGGAATTTGGGCCGTGTTCCAGTGGGATGGAGCGCCTTGGTTTGCACACCTGGCAGAGCCATCTGGGGACAATCCTTTGTTTTTAGGGGTCTTCTCCCTTCTTTTCAAATCCCAGAGCACCAAATGCTCCAGGATCCCAAGCTCTGGCATTTTGGGTGCTGCAGAACTCCCCAGCCCCCCGAAATCCCACAGCTGTTCCAAACACTGACCTGTGGGATGGGGTGTCTGTCCCGCTGTATTCCCATCGCGGTGTCCACGGGTGGGATCCCCTTCCACAGGGTGTCCTGGAGCACAGGGAGGGGGTGTGCTGGGTAGAGAGCTCAGTGTTCCTGGGGAAAAGGGAGGCTTGGATGTGGCTCAGGAGCTGTTCCTGCCCCCAGGACGTGCTGACACTGTCGAGCAGCACCGACAGTGACGTTGAGAACGGGCAGGTCCCGGCGGGGCAGGTCCCGGGCACCGCCAACGACAGCGACGACATCCAGACCATCTCCTCGGGCTCCGAGGAGGAGGAGGGCGAGGACAAGAAAAACCCCTCGTCCGGGTCAGGTGAGGGGGAAGACCAGGGCTGAGGATGGGGAGTTTTGGCTGGAGAGCACCAGGAAGGGCTGGTGAGGCCACGGCAGCGCGGAGCGCGGCGCGTCTGCTCCTGCCGCGCCTGACGGGCCAGGGCTGGACCTTCCCCGCGGGGTTTTAGAGACAAAACTGCAAAATCTCACCCTCAGACCCAGGTATTTTTGGGGGGATAGGGAGAAAAAGCAACTGTGAGGCTCCTGGTGGGTGTGAGGCTGGGCTGGGCGGATTCCAGGAGCCGTCCCGGGGGGGGTGTTTGGGATGTGAGGGAAGAGGGGGGGGATGAGCAGGGTTGGGGGTTCCTCCTCTGGCAGCTGCCGTGTGGTGGCAGGTCCCGTGAAGAGGCAGGTGGCTGTGAAATCCACCCGGGGCTTTGCCCTGAAATCCACCCACGGCATCGCCATCAAATCCACCCCGCTGGCCGCGGGTGACAAGGGCGAGAGCGCGGGGCCCGTGCGCAGGAGCACCCGGCAGTTCTACGACGGCGAGGAGAACTGCTACATCATCGATGCCAAGCTCGAGGGCAACCTGGGCCGCTACCTCAACGTGAGCTGGGCACGGGCAAGGGGAGGGCAGGGGCCTCAGCGGGGCTGTGCCCGCCCCGGAGCGGCGAAGAACAGGGAAAGGGCAGGGGGAGGAGGCTGATCCGCCCCCACTGAGCGGAGCCGAGCGGCTGCTCCGGCCGCCAGGGCAGGGGGAGGAGGCTGATCCGCCCCCTCTGAGGCGGAGAGAGACGCTGCTCCGGCCCCAGGGCAGGGAGGAGGCTGATCCGCCCCCCTGAGCGGAGCAGAGCGGCTGCTCCGGCCCCGTTACCTGTGAGGGGGGGGTCGTGTGACTCGGCCTGTTCCAGCAGGATCCCGCTGGACGCGGCGGGCACAGCAGGAATGCTGCTTGTTTGGGAAGGCTGTGCAGGGCTGGCGGCTCTGCCTCCCTCCCTGGCAGCGGCTCAGCCCGTCCCTGTTGCCCTTACAGCACAGCTGCTCCCCAAACCTCTTTGTGCAGAACGTCTTCGTGGACACCCACGACCTCCGCTTCCCCTGGGTCGCCTTCTTCGCCAGCAAGTGAGTCCTGGAGCCCTGGGGAGGGCTGGGGCTTCCTGGGCCTTGCTGGGACCCGGCCCCGTGGCCAGGGCTGGGTGTTCCCTACTCCTGGTAACCCCATTCCCAGTTTCACCCCATCCTGAGCAGAGAAAACCTTGGAGGTGAGGGCAGGTGAGATCCCCTCTCCTGTGCTGGAGATCCTGCTGTGATTTCCCTCAGTTTTAGACCTCCCCAAAGGGCAGAGTGAAGCACAGAGCAGCCAAATTCCCAGCTTGGTTGAGCCGTGGTGAATCCCTGCCACGCTCCTCTCGGCTCTTCCATGAATCCCTACGGGAATGATTCACCAGGAACTTTGTCCCTTTGCTCTCCAGCTGCTCCACCCTTGTCCCGGGGGCAGCTGGACTGTCCAGAGAGGTCACAGGGAGCGTGGCTCCCTTCCATCATCCACTTTTCCTCTTTCCTGGCGTTGCCTCTTCACCCATCCCGTGTTTTTCCACTTCCCAGGAGGATCCGGGCGGGCACGGAGCTGACCTGGGATTACAACTACGAGGTGGGGAGTGTGGAGGGCAAAGAGCTGCTGTGCTGCTGCGGGGCCATCGACTGCAGGGGCCGCCTGCTCTGAGCCCGCCCCGCTCCCCACGGCCCTGCTGCTTCCCTCGGCGAGGGAAAAGGTTCTCAAGAGCTTCTGTGTTCTCCTGTTCGCTTGGAAAGTCACGGAGGGACGCGGGGCAGGAAGGGAATCTGGGGGATTCCCAAGCCCTGGGCTTCTCCCACCTTCCAGAGGCTCCAGTTACCACGACAACCTCCCTCAGGAAAAGGAGTTTTTCCTGTTCCCTTCCAGCTCTCCGCCAAACTTGAGGCACGAGCCCCTTCTTTTCCAGCAGGAAGCACTTCCCCAAGAGTCCCAACTTCATGGTTGGGATTGAGGCCTGGGAAGTGGGAGGGGAAAGAGGATGGTGAAATCCCAGCAAGATGGGACCAATCTGGATTTCTGTGACGAGAATCATCTGTTGAGATGATGATGTAAAGAATCTTTTGTACTTTTGGTTGTTAAAAAAAAAAAAGCAATAAACTTAAATGTTTTTTTTTCTACTAAAAATCATCTGCAGTGGCCTTCAGACACAGTGAAGAGCCCTGGAAGAGCAGCACTGAACCACTTCCCACCATCCTCTTTTCCATGGGGTTTGCAGGGAAAACACCAGAGGCCCCGGGAACAGGGATAAGGAGCTCCCACATTCTCACCTTTCCCTCACCTTTCCTCAAAACAAACACTCCTTAAACCCTTCACTTGGAAAAATTAAACAGAAACTGGCTGGAATTTTCTCGAGGAGGCAGATCCAAGGCTGCTTCCCATCTCCAGTCTTCCCAGAACGTCCCTGTAGGCTGGAAACACTGAGTTGAGCTTAAAGTCCTGCACTGAAGAGGCCACTGGGACAGCCTTAAACTTGATTTAGGCACCTGGGGAGGGTGGGTAGGGCAGCCCAGCCCAGCCCAGCCCAGCCCAGTCTGGCTGCTGGACACGAATCCACACGGAAAATCACTGGATTTGGCAACAACACACAATTCCAAGGGTTTGGGTTCGGGTGTTTTTTTGTTTTGGGGGTGGTAGGACACCAGGGCAGCTCCAAAAGGTTGAATAAACCACCTTGAAAACTGGTTAAAAGAGGCAAATTTTAGCCAACTGGGATCAAACCTCCCATTATTGACACGGAAAACCCCCATCTGGGGGGGTCCTGGAGCAGATTCCATCCCATCCCCACCCCCATCCCAACAGCTCTCACAGCTCTGCACAAGGGAGGTTTGTTGTTTTCCTGCAAAATAACCCTTTTTTTTTTTTTTTTTTGTAAAATAAAACCTTTCTGGGGCCTCCTGGAGCTCCAGTTCCATCCCGAGCGTCCACCTGAA